TTTCGCCTTTTTTCACAGGATTTAATCACAGTATATATAGTCACAGAAACTATGGGAATATTTTAATGAATCAGTCATGAAATATTCCTACATGTTTTCCACTCTGAACACCTCCGGTAGGTAGGTATAATGTTTGCCAGGAAACAGGACAAGTGTTTCCTGACGCGGGTCTTAGTCATATGATGACCCACAGCTGGAGTTTTCGGTCATCTGACCAAGACTTCCTCTAGGTTATCGGTCAACCTCTTTAAAAATCATGGTTATTATTATGATCATTAGTTGTTAATTGAACACCTCCGGATGTGAAGCATGCGATGGGTAACCTAAACTCGTCGCTTCATCCTCAGAAGGTGGTGAGCGAGTGGTCCTGGGTGCCACACTGTAAGGTTTCTGGTAGGACTGACATGCAGGAACTAAATTATGTGCAGGAACAAGTGATCTGTACATGAATGGTATGCAATACCAACAAGATGAAAATTAGACACATGTGTAGCATCAGATATTGCACATGTATTTAATTTTCAACAAGTGATTTCATATCAAGGGTGATTATAGCACCAGGCTTCCACTAGCCTTATGAGATACTACGTTTAAGATAATTGCGATGGTAACTTAGCCAATATGTTTAATTTCGTAGCTGAAATATGCCCGTTGCAGACTGAATGCAAGTTTTTGAAGTGATTGAAAAATGTATTGAAAAATGGCAGAACGTTCTTGTGCTTTCATTTTTAACCAATAGTGATGGATAATTGCAGATTTAAGCTTCCTACAAATCGGAAAGTTCAAAGACTTCACAAAAGATGACGTATATTTATGACTGCTTTCTTTCGTGCACTGTGCAGTCTGTTACTAATTCTGCTAAGATAATAAATGATTTTGGGGAACATAGACAACCGGTGTAAAGAAATATTCCCAGTGTTTTTCCCCTCGCTGGGAATCGAACCCAGACCCTCACCGTGTGAAGACAGAGCTTTATCCACCAGGCAAAGCTGCTATTTCCGTGTCGTGGTTTTCAAGAACCATGATTTGAAATTTTAAAAGGGATTAGCCGGAATAATTCAGTTTCAAGAGATATTTAAAGATTACATTAATTTCTGATCAAAATATTGTAGCGAGCAGATCTGTATTGTATCGAGGAAAAGGCTAGAAGTCACACTTCTTTTTATCTGTTCCGAGCGATGGCTCAAAAAGTGAAGGTAACTGGCTGAATAGTTTAGTTTTTCTATAGACTAAGAAACTCAGTAGAATATTTATCATTACATCTGCAAATGAGTAATTCCCCTCAGATTTCCATCAATCTTTAAACTTAATGCTGGGGAACAAAACTTTGTGGGTTATCGAGCACTGACAGGAGTTAATTACACTTTGTAGATTGAGACACTTGTGCAACATATGGGAATCTTTATTCAGGAAACGTTTCGCCACACAGTGGTGTCGATGTGTTCAGTCCATCAATCTTGATTGATGGACTGAACACATCGACTCCAGGCTGAGGGACTGATTACCTCAAACTCCTCCTCTCCTTAAGACATTATATACTTTATATTGGACTTAGCATTTTGATGATATGCAGGAGGAAACTCCTGATGAGGAAATCTTCAGAATGTTTTACCTGACAGTTTGAGATGTTCCCCATGCATAGTGATAACAGTCAGCTTAGCCAATTGATGATCATATATAGGAAGGAACTTCTGCTGGACTTTATAAGTCTATGTGATTTGCTTAAGACAGTAAAGAATCCCAGACATTAACTTACACCTCTGTGTAAGAGATTATTCATTCTTTCTTAATAATCTCAGTCATAGATGTGATGTAGATTTTCTTTTTTGTTAAGATTTTTCAAAAGTCATTTGGTCTGGCTAAAGGATCGAATTTGCATAATCTTCACATTCTGCGCATATACTATATATATATATATATATATATATATATATATATATATATATTATATATATATATATATATATATATATTATATATATTACATACATACATAGCGAAATAAGTAAATTCTATATTACCCATTCAATTTAACAATGGTTATTAATTACATATACAATATTTAAAAAATGTGAAAGAAAAATAACACTCTAAAAAGTCAAATATTTATTAACGAATGTACGGAAAAAATAACATGGGACATATTTTAAAGAGTTTGACCATTTTTTTGCTTCCATAGTTGCTAAAGTACACTCCAGCGAAGATGGTGACCAGGATGGGTCGGTGCTAGTACAAAACCTGTAGTTCAGGGGTGAGTGTCAGTAGCATCTCATACTTCGCCCTTTAAATAACAGCTTCATGGTCACTTTTATTTGAAGTTTCTTGCCTTCTCTTCTTCTAGAAGATCTGTGTCATTATTAGATTTGGTGATGTCTCACCAACTGGCCTGACTTTCTCTAAGAATCATTTCTGTTACTCTGGAAGTAGTATAAGATTCTTTATCTTCATAGCATCACCTGCCTTCTGTCTTACATTAGTAGCCTCTAACCTCACACAGTAACTTCTCCACACCAATCATTTTAAGTAGGATTCTGTCCTCTATCCTCTCAGTAATCCCTGCTCCTCCATATAAGTATGATTCTAGCCACAATCCTGGCAGCAACTCATACACTATTTGAAGGATTCTAATAAGTCAGCATCCACTTTGCTGTAGACTGGCCACTGGGCCCAGTGGCCATTATGCCAGCTTTTTTTACATAGCCAAAAACTATAACAAAGAACTGTTCCAGGTGATTTTGGCCTTGATGAATGTAATAATAATCTTCCTTCTGCTACTTCTAAAAAGCACTCGAAACTCTAACCTCTTCCTAATTATTTCCCGACCTCTGACCTATTCCATCCATTATACTTCGCTACCCTTTGCTCTTATCATTCCCTCCCCCACCTTTCTGCTAGTGACGTCGTGACCTCTACCCTTAATTCACTCTTCCCCTGCAGCCTCCACCATATCAGAAAATATTGAAAAACTGACAATTGTCCCAAATGGGTGGTGGCGCTAAGCAACAAAGTGAGGGTGCTAGTATGGTGTCAGGGCTGCTTTCTGCTGACCTCCAGACACCAAGGTGGTGGTGGTGGTGTTAGTATGGTACAAAGGCTGCCTTCTTTTGACCTCCAGCCACAAAGGTGTTAGTGGTATTATTAAACCTACAAGGGTCATACAGCGCTGCTAGTATGGTGTTAGGGCTGCCTTTTACTGACCTCTAGCCACCAAGGTGTTAGTGGTATTAGTATGGTGTTGAGCTGCCTTCTGCTGACCTCCAGCCACCAAGGTGGTAGTAATGTTAGTATGGTATTGGGCTGCCTTCTGCTGACCTCCAGCCACCAAGGTATAAGTGGTATGGGTATTGTGTTAGGGCTGCCTTCTGCTTATCTCCAGCACCAAGGTGGTAATAATGGTATGGTGTTTGGCTGCCCTCTCCAGCGTTAACGTCCAAGTAATGCTAGTATGGTGTAAAGGCTACCTACTTTTGACCTCCAGACATCAAAGTGGTAGTAATGCTAGTATCGTGTTGTGGCTGCCTTCTGGTCACCTCCAGACACGAAGGTGATGGTGATGTTAGTATGGTGTTTCGCCTGCTTTCTGTTAGCACAGAGTTAGTGCTACCTGTCACTAACATGGTGCTAACGTGGTGTTAATGCTGTCTTCAACTAACGTCCAGCACTAAGTGAGGCGAGTGAGGATGAAATAGTTGTGTGGAATCAAAGTTAATGCTCCCACAATAGTAGTGTAGCAATAAAAGGAGTGGCATTAATAGTAGTGTGGCAACAACAATAGTGGCCACAATGGTGCCCAGAGTGTTGCTAATAATGCAATGGCCACAGAAACTATGTGGCCTGGGAAGCAGTAATGCCAGATGTGCTGTGTGGCCTGGCAGGCAGAGTTGTATTTAGTACACTGTACAAGTATGTCAGAGACAGTGTAAAGAGGGTAACAATGTGATCTAGGAGACAGTGGGACCAAGTTGGCAGTGTGACCTAGGAGACAGAGGCGAGGTCGACAATGTGGCCTAGGAGACAAAGAGGCCAGGTCGGCAGTGTGGTCATGGTGGCTAGAAAGACAGTGTGGCCAAGGTAGTGTGGTCTGAGTGGTAGTGTTGCCAGTGAGGCAGTCTGGCCAGAGAGAGAGAGAGAGTGTGAGGCTTCGGATGCAGTGTGGCCAGATGTATGGTGTGGCCAGGGTAGTAGTGACAATGCTTCTTGGGAGACAGTGTGGCCAGTGTGATCATTGTGGCAGTGTGGCCAGGGCGGCAGTATGGCCAGGGTAGTAGTGACATTGCTTCTTGGGAGAGAGTGTGGCCAGTGTGACCATTGTGGCAGTGTGGCCATGGTGGCAATATGGCCAGGGTGAGCATAGTGTGGCTTGGGACATATTGTGTCTGGCTTGGGCCGGGAAGTAGTGTGGCCACTGAAGGACGCCGTAGGAGGTATAAGACGTCACACACCTCAAACGGACACAACAAAAACTTTACGGGACTTCAGGTAAACTTTTTTTTTGTCTGAATCAGGACCTTGGCATAGCCAATAACGTAACTTAAGAGTTCTCGTAACCTCTTCTTAAAATCCCTATATTGTGGGTATAAAGTTTAATGTTTTATATCGTTTTTATTAAAAAATCTACATTTTGTGCTAGTTAAATAGGAATAGCAGATGCAATGAGACTTGCTTACATGTCTTGTCTTGGTCGGGACTTGAACCCGAGACCTTTTCCCACTGAACGACTGCTCTGACCACAGCACTAACAGAGACAATTTAACCCTATCGAATACTCCGTTTCGTTGGACTTATTTTTGTTACAAGAATAACTGTATAAATCATTTTTGAACAATTATATGTTTTTTTCCACCCATGTTATGTTGTAGATCAAACAAATTTACGGAAATCATATTATATCCAGAATTCATTCAGTGCTGAACGAAAACATGTGACAGGCATCAAACACCTCTTCCGACGAAAGTGAAACTTCCACGTCAAAATCCCTTTGGGTAGCGGTCACCAGTTGCCCCTCACGGTCATACGCACTCGTAGCCACACCTGGCCGCACACGCACTCACACATAGATACAGACACACTTACACACACACACCCACACGCGCTCCGACCAATGCCTCTTAAGCAGTAAGTGACGGAAGGGGACTGTTAGTGTCTTGTTTCCCGCCCGACTGAAGGCATGCGCGCTCTGCAAGTAAGTCTTGCTGACGCCCATGGCCCGGCCCTGGGGGGTCCCATCACTGTGAATATTGGTGTTATTATTCCTGATCGCTGCGAATGTTGACGTTGAGTCCTCATCTATGATTTTTCTGTAGTGGAGGAATGTTGAAATCTACGATGTTTAGTGTGTGTGTGTGTTGTGGTGGTTCGATGTAAACAGAATCTGTCATATACTCTGATATTCAACGCTCAGATTTGATAAGTAATGATCACAGCTGCTATATGTGCTAGAAGGTTAAGTGACTAATAAATTGTGGAAATTTTTAGCAAAATTCATGATATGGGGTTTCTTCTTTACAAAATTACGTATTTTGAATGTTCTAAATTGGGTTTAGCTCATTTCTCGTCTAGTTCATGGATTTACATAGTAATATATTAGAACGAGCATTATCAAATTTATATTACTGTGAAAATTTACGAGAATGCACGAATGTGTTAGTTGGTTATTATTGATTATATTCTGGGGAAAAAAGTTTAATTATAATAACAGAATTAACGAGATTATCACAAACGAGGTATTATATACACAAATAACACACGTACAATATTTGAACACACAACACACACACCACACATACAACACACACACACACACACACACACACACACCACAACACACACACACACACACACACACACACACACACACACACACACACACACACACACACAGTTTTAGGACAGGCCTCATGAGGAAGGAGCTGCAGTTACCTAGTTACCTAGCTGCAGTTGCCTACTGACGACTGAGTTTTTTGAGTTTCAACTCTATGCCCGCCCCCTAAAGCTCAATATTTTATTTATTTTTCTTTTGTTGTGGAGCAGCGTCTGGATAATAGGAGATAATCAGATTTGATTCGGGAAAGGAGATGTTAACTGTAATTCTTTGGATCATGATCACTTCACTATCATCAAGGCTTCCCCAGTGAAAACTTAAGCTTGAATTGGCTGATTTGATTCTAATTTATCATATCTTACATGTCGTATATTTTCTTGGCTTCTACAATGTCACTCTCTAGTTTGTTTCATCTCTATACTGTTAGTAACGTCTTTGCTGTCTCCCCTTTTTTGTTTCCTCTCATACCAGAGTTGCTGTCTAATTTGTTTATTCCCATAAGTTTTTAATGCCATCATCATGCCTTCTGTTTCTACGTTTTTCAGTCTTGGTGTGCTAGTTCTGGTTGTCTTTCTTCATAAATAACGCTTTTCAACTCTACACCAGTTTTGTTTCAAACCTTTGCCCCTTGTCGATTTTCACAGACTTGTCTGGGTTATTAGCTCTTTACACACACCCCACACACACACACACACACACACACACACACACACACACAAACACACACACACACACACACACACACACACACACACACACATACACACACACACATACACACACACACACATGCACACACACACACAAAAAGACAGGATGTTCCAGAGACTGGACACAGCAACACGGGGACACAGTTGGAAGCTGAAGACACAGAAGAATCACAGGGATGTTAGGAAGTATTTCTTCAGCCACAGAGTAGTCAGGAAGTGGAATAGTTTAGGAAGTGATGTAGTGGAGGCAGGATCCATACATAGCTTTAAGCAGAGGTACGATAAAGCTCATGGTTCAGGGAGAGTGACCTAGTAGTGACCAGTGAAGAGGCGGGGCCAGGAGCTTGGACTCGACCCCTGCAACCTCAACTAGGTGAGTTCTAGGTGAGTACACAGTCTAGGAGTGCAGTCTAGGGGGCCAGAGGCTACAAACCTCACTCAAGGAAAAAGATCTTGGGGTGAGTATAACACCAGGCACATCTCCTGAAGCGCACATCAACCAAATAACTGCTGCAGCATATGGGCGCCTAGCAAACCTCAGAACAGCATTCCGACATCTTAATAAGGAATAGTTCAGGACCCTGTAAACTGTGTACGTTAGGCCCATATTGGAGTATGCGGCACCAGTTTGGAACCCACACCTAGCCAAGCACGTAAAGAAACTAGAGAAAGTGCAAAGGTTTGCAACAAGACTAGTCCCAGAGCTAAGGGGTATGTCCCACGAGGAGAGGTTACGGAAAATCGACCTGACGACACTGGAGGACAGGAGAGATACGGGGGACATGATAACGACATGCAAAATAATGAGAGGAATTGACAAGGTGGACAGACAGGATGTTACAGAGATTGGACACAGTAACAAGGGGAAACAGTTGGAAGTTGAAGACACAGATGAATCACTGGGATGTTAGGAAGTATTTCTTCAGCCACAGAGTAGTCAGGAAGTGGAATAGTTTGGGAAGCGATGTACTGGAGGCAGGATCCATACATAGCATTAAGCAGAGGTATGGCAAAGCTCATGGTTCAGGGAGAGTGACGTAGTAGCGACCAGTAAAGAGGCGGGGACAGGAGCTATGAATCGACCCTTGCAACCTCAACTAGGTGAGTACAACTAGATCAACTAAGTGAGTACACACACACACACACACACACACACACACACACACACATACACACACACACACACACACACACACACACACACACACACACACACACACACACACACACACACACACACACACACACACACACACACACACACACACACACACAGATTATCAGGAGAAGAGTGGTGGAACACCTAGAAAGGAATGATCTCATCAACAGCAGCCAACTTGGTTTCAGGGACGGGAAATCCTGTGCCACAAACCTACTGGAGTTCTATGACATGGTGACAGCAGTAAGACAAGAGAGAGAGGGGTGGGTGGATTGCATATTCTTGGACTGGAAGAAGGCGTTTGACACAGTTCCACACAAGAGATTGGTGCAAAAACTGGAGGACCAAGCAGGGATAACAGGGAAGGCACTACAATGGATCAGGGAATACTTGTCAGGAAGACAGCAGCGAGTCATGGTACGTGGTGAGGTGTCAGAGTGGGCACCTGTGACCAGCGGGGTCCCACAGGGGTCAGTCCTAGGACCAGTGCTGTTTCTGGTATTTGTGAACGACATGACGGAAGGAATAGACTCTGAGGTGTCCCTGTTTGCAGATGACGTGAAGTTGATGAGAAGAATTCACTCGATCGAAGACCAGGCAGAACTACAAAGGGATCTGGACAGGCTGCACACCTGGTCCAGCAATTGGCTCCTGGAGTTCAATCCCACCAAGTGCAAAGTCATGAAGATTGGGGAAGGGCAAAGAAGACCGCAGACGGAGTACAGTCTAGGGGGGCCAGAGACTACAAACCTCACTCAAGGAAAAAGATCTTGGGGTGAGTATAACACCAGGCACATCTCCTGAAGCGCACATCAACCAAATAACTGCTGCAGCACATGGGCGCCTAGCAAACCTCAGAACAGCATTCCGACATCTTAATAAGGAATCGTTCAGGACCCTGTACACCGTGTACGTTAGGCCCATATTGGAGTATGTGGCATCAGTTTGGAACCCACATCTAGCCAAGCACGTAAAGAAACTAGAGAAAGTGCAAAGGTTTGCAACAAGACTAGTCCCAGAGCTAAGAGGTATGTCCTACGAGGAGAGGTTAAGGGAAATCAACCTGACGACACTGGAGGACAGGAGAGATAGGGGGGACATGATAACGACATACAAAATACTGAGAGGAATTGACAAGGTGGACAAAGACAGGATGTTCCAGAGATTGGACACAGTAACAAGGGGACACAGTTGGAAGTTGAAGACACAGATGAATCACAGGGATGTTAGGAAGTATTTCTTCAGCCACAGAGTAGTCAGTAAGTGGAATAGTTTGGGAAGCGATGTAGTGGAGGCAGGATCCATACATAGCTTTAAGCAGAGGTATGATAAAGCTCACGGCTCAGGGAGAGTGACCTAGTAGCGATCAGTGAAGAGGTGGGGCCAGGAGCTCGGACTCGACCCCCGCAACCTCAACTAGGTGAGTACAACTAGGTGAGTACACACATTACCAGCAGCTGTGACTCGACCCCAGCAACCACAATTTGGTGAATACGTAATTACTTAAAATGGGTGCGAGAGCGAGAGGGTAAAGAGAGAGAGAGAGAGAGAGAGAGAGAGAGAGAGAGAGAGAGAGAGAGAGAGAGAGTCAGTCTCGAGGCAACGAACTGTTTATTACTCCTAAATAAGATCAAAGCTTTAATTACAAGTGTTTATGAAAAATTAAACTTTAATTTATGAAAATAGATTAAGCTTGCTTCAACACATGACAATAATTAATTTGACAAATCTGCCTTTGCAATCAGAGGCAAACTTCATTTTAGCAATGAACATTATAGCTAAAAAAAACTTCAGGCATAATAACGTATGCAGCTCAATAATTATGCTAATTTTAAAAGCTATACAACATACTTTCATATCTACAAAAAAAAAAAAATCAACTGAAAGATCACTATGAAAAATTAAATGCATTTAGTATTCCATTTATATCGTTTGCAAACGTGGACTGGATGAGTTATGGAGCGAAATTTTGCTGGCCAAGTTAGGAATCTCAGAGCCAGAGTTCAGTGAAATGCTCAATGTAGGTCACTGGTTTGTCTTCCTGGTGACTCTGGTCTTCCCTCGTGATATGTATCCTCTGATAGTGGTGAAGTCAGGCTAATTGTAGTTTTAGTACTGACAAAAATAGTAATAGAAGTAGTAGTAGTAGTAATGCTAGAAGTAGTAGTAATAGCAGAAGTAGTAGCAGTACTAGAAATAGTAGTAGTAGTAGTAGTAGTACTATTAGTAGTACTGACAAAACTAATAGTAGTAGTAGTAGTACTGGGAGAAACAGTAAAAGTTCTTGTGGCAGTAGTACTGACAGAAATGGTAGTTGCAGTAGTAGTAGTAGTAGTTGCAGTAGTAGCAGAAATAGTAGTAGTAGTAGTAGCAGTAGTAGTAGTAGTTTTAGCAGTAATACTTGCATTAGTTAATATATTAACAT